AGGGAGGGAGGAAGAGGGAGAGAGAGAGAGATCCTGAGACGAACACCTGTCTCTCCCTCCCCTCCCAGTCTGACTCCTCGGGTAAGGTGCTTTTTGTGTGTGATTCTGTGCACGGATCCTGGGACGTCACAGAAGCTAGGCAAGCGCTCTGTCTCTGAGCTACATCCCAGCCCTGTCCCAGCCTCTTGAATGAACCCTGATTTTGGGCACTCTGCCTCAGTTTGTCCCTAAACCTTACCCATTCCTTCCTCACTAGTCTGGTCCTCCTGAGAGGAAACATCCATCCAGCCAAGCCCTGCTTCTTGATTGATTCTCTCCTCCAAGGTGGTAGACCTGGGGAGGATAGTTACGGGGTGGGAACGTGGAGGCTTGGGGGGAGCAGAGGTAAGTGAAGCTGGGTGGGGGGTTATGGGTAGGGGTATGAGGTGGCTGGGTGGGGTCTTTGCTCCCGCACTCAAACACCACACTAAGATGTAGGCCAGGCTGTTCGGGAGGACGACCTTGGAAGCCGCAGAGGAGACAAAACAGAGAAGAGAAACGACAGCTTGAGACCAGAGCACAGGGAGGGGACAGGAGGAGCAGCAGGGAAGGCGACAGACGCAGCTCAGGAGCTGCGGAGGGTGCTGAATTCCAGACAAACTGCAGAACAGAGAAGACCCTCGGGCGAGGACAGGGAGGGGGCGAGAGACAGAGAAGAGGGTGCAGAGCAGAGGAGCGGCCTGTGAGTCAGACTGGGGAATGAATTCTGTCACGTTCACCCCGGACTCTCTCCCCAGGTGTGTCTGTCTGCTGCTCTCTCCTGTCCCGCTCAGTCGCTGGTGCTCTGTCTTGGGTGCAGACCACATTCTCCCAGGCACCTGCACCGCCCGCCATGGGTACCTGCAGCATTTTCCTGTGCCTCCTGCTCCTCTGCGGGGCCCTGGGTAAGGGTGGGCAGGGGACAGGAGCTGGAGGAGCTGGAGGGCTGGAAGGAGCAGGCAGCTGGCAGGGCCAGGAGGAGAGCTGGGACCCTGGGGACACCTGCCAGCGGGATTACTCAGTGCAGGCAGAGACGTTTTCTCTGGAAGGCCTCTGAGATCCACGGGCTCCTCCTGCTACCTCTTGAGCTCCTCTGTCTCTGTCCCTTATCATCACTTATCTTCCCTTGAGCTTCTGCGCTGGGCCCCTCAAAGCCAACTCCTCCTTTTTTTAATCTGCCTCTGGCACCAGCTACTTAACTTCTTCCCTTCCCTCCCCTCGGTCTCTGTGCCCACCCGGCTTTCTGTGCCTCTCAGTCTCTCTTGGCTTCCGTTCATGTCTGTGTGCCTCTCTCCATCCCTGTATCCCTCTGTTTCTTTTACTTTCTCTCCCTACTCTGCCTGTTTTTCTGCTTCGTCTGCCTCCATTTCACGGCTTCCCGCTGTCTTTCCGTGTGGGCTCTGCCTCTCCCCTTCTCCCCGCTGCCACGATCTCTGCTCTTCAACAGGTCTCACCACTTCCCCTGCCCGGGTCCGGCTCCACTGTTACACCTGCAGCTTTGCTAAGCCCTGCTACCCCGTTCCCACGGAGTGCCGGGACGACGAGGCTTGTGGCGTCAGCGTGGGCACCTCAGGTAGGCTCTGACCCGACGGGCCTCTCCTGCTGGCCCAGCCTCCGTCCTTCCTGGCCCACTGCCCCACGTTTCTCCTTTGGCCCACAGACCAGAATGAGGTCATCGAGCGGAAAGGCTGCCTCCCTAGGGCCCAGTGCCCTCTGCCAGGCCACACCACCTACTGGTCACGCTCCTACATGCTGCAACATCGGTGCTGCGAACAGGACCTGTGCAACATGGCCACCACATCCCAGCGGCTCCCTAGCCTCCTGCTCACTGCCCTGGTCCTCCTTGTGACCAGCTTCACTTGGGCAGGCCACCTCCTCCGCTAGCCTCATGTGGGTCTGCGGCCCTCAACCCTGGGCTCCTCCACCAAGACCATGGGCCTGGAACCCCGGCACCTGAGATTTACCCAAGAACCTGATTTTGCACAAAGACCTCAGACCCTTGGGCCCAGTGCCTCTAGATTCCTATGGGCCCTGCTCCGGGCCGGCAGGTGCCTGCCAAGAACCCAGCCCCCAAGCCAACCCTTGTCCTGGGTCTTTTCTAGAGGCCTGGAGCCCATGATCCCTCTCAGCCCCAGGCTCCTGGTGAGGCAGCCCCTTTGTTGCAGTCATGGGTCCCTGCAAGAGGGTTGAAGGGGTGACGAGGAGAGTCTGGCTAGGAAAGATGTAACTTCTATACTGGGAACTCAGGAAGGAGAGACTCAGCTTGGGGAGCTATAAAAAGTAGATTTAATAAAAGGGGGGGGACTTAGCTCAGTGGTGCCGCCTCCTGCCTCACAAGCGCAAGGTCCTGAGGTTGACCCCTGGTAACCCCCCAAAAGTAGATTTAATAAAAGGTCTATCCAGGAGCCTGGTGTCCGCAGTGTGAGCGTGTGTGTGTGTGTGCATGTGTGTGTGTGTGTGTGTGTGTGCACACAGGTGCACTGAGAATGAGCTGCACCTGCTTGGTGGGTTGGGCTAAGTGCTGGAGCCTGAGCCGTACACCCCTGTGCACCCCCACATCTCCCAGCCGCGTCATTCACATCCTCCTTCCTGCCAGTCGCTTAGCTTGGGCCACTGCAGGGTGAAGGCTTTAGGCGAGATTTCCCAGAAAGCTCTTCTCCAGGGAGGCCCAAGCCCGAGCCCAGACTCTAATGGGCCTGGTAGAGTTGCCCGTGAGCGGGTGACCCAGAGTCCAGCTCACTTCTGCCTGAGTGGGGCCAGCAGGTTGGGAACAGCAATGCCCTTCCCCACACCCGGCCCAGACGCGTCCAGGGCCCACAGACGGCCCACAGGGAAGCCCATCTGGCTGCCTCTGTGGACACCCTGCCCAGAGAGGGGGGTGGCCTCTCGGCCCAGGGAGGCAGTGCTCCAGCAGTCAGGAGATAAACTGCTCACACCCTGGAGGCCGTCATGCAGCCCCACACGGAAGCGCGTGTGACTCAGATAAGGAGGGTGCCCTTGGGGGGCCAAGCCCCAGCACCCCTGTTCCTCCTCCGATGCCCCCTCCATCTGAGGAAGTTGTGGGCTGATTAGGTTGCTTGCTCCTTCGTAGGATACCGCTTGGATGGAGGAAGGTCTGGCTTGGTCTGGAGGCTGTAGAAGCTCCTCTCCATTTTCTCTGTGCTGCAGTTCTCCTGCTTGTGCTTCTATGTTTCTGTCTCTGTGTCCAACTCCTTTCTCTTACTCTGACTTGAGTCTCTTCCCTTCTCTCTTCCTCAGTTTCCCCCATTTGTGCTTAGGTCCCCCTATGAATGATACCTCACTATCGCACACATACCTCGGTTTCTTTGTCTCTTCCCTACCCCACCCCACCCCACCCACCCTTACAACGACCCCAGGTTCCCCTCAGTCCCGTAGTACTTCATGCTCAGCACCACCCCTCCACCGGCCCTTCAAGACAGGGGACCACAGCTTTTCCTAAGTGACAGAACAATGCCACTCCTCCCCTCCAGCCCCCCCATCCCCCACACAGCTTCTTGGCTGCTGAAGGCCGGCTCGACCAAAAGCCCCTCCCCCCACCGCGGTTTCAGGGTGTCCTCTGCGCGCCAGATGGCCAGGGAGACAGCAGGTCACACTTCCCAGCAGCAGATGTCGCCAAGGTCATCTGGTCTTGTGGGCAGGTGGGCTGTGGGTTTGCAAAGCAGGAAAGCAGATTAAGAATAGCTCTTGTTCTCCACCTCCTCGGGAACCACGCCCCGTCCCCAATCCAACTCCAGTGTTTCCTCTCCCAGCCCGAGGCCCTGCGGGCTTTAAGCCTCCGTTCCTTACTGGAGATGCGCCAAGTGGATGTTCTCGTAGACCTGGATTTCTGGTTTGAATTGGGGAACGGAGGCATCTGGGGAGAGGGGGCATAGGACATACAGAAGACAAGTCAGGTGACCGCCCCACCCCGGAGAGGCAGGGCGGAGCCGGCTTAGCGAGGGTCTCACCTTGGCCCTGAACCCTGTGGACCCTCCGCCTCCAGAGCAGGAAGCTGAGGGCCAGGATGGTGAAACCCTGGCCCGCTATGAGCAACAGCATCAGGATCCGGGGCACATCCCAGCCCGTGTGAGGGACACAGCGAACAGGAGAGGAGTCCGTGGAGGCTGTGATAAGAGTAAGACAGGGACAGGGAGGGAAGCAGTGGGGGCCTGTGCCCCAAAGAGAGGCTCCCCAGCCTAATGGGCTCTTCCTGCAGAAGACTTACAAGCTCCCCTGCACCCCAGTATCCACCACTCCTCTTTGCTTCTTTCCAGAATTCTCCGCCACCTCATGTGCCAACCTCAGCGGAGAGCGGCAGTGCTGTCCCGCCCACACATGGACAGTTAGCTCCAGTCACCTCCAGCCACGGCTGCTACGGGAGTAATTCACCTTCCCAAGCAAAATAAAGTACTGGGGCTGGGGATTTAGCGCAGTGGTGCCTGTGCCTGCTCGCAACTGTGAGGTCCTGAGTTTGATCCATGGTACAAAAAACAAAAGTGCTCTGCATGTTCTCACTGCTCCGTTCATTCACCCTCACTCGGGCTCACCGCACGCCAGCCACTGTGTCTAGTGTGAGGATGTGGAGGGCAATACACCCGGCCTCTGCCCATTTGTTCCCCCTTCCTGCCTGCAGGCGGGGTCTTCCACACTCAGGAGCGTGTCTCCTTGGTTCATGGCTTTTTCCTTTTTTTTTCTGCTGGGGATTCAACCCAAGGCCTTCACACTTAGCTATATCCCCAGCCCTTTTTATGTTTTATTTTGAGACAAGGTCTTGCTCAGTTGCCTATGCCAGGCTCAAATTTGTGATCCTCCCACCTCAGCCTCCCAGAGGGATGACAGGTATGCATCAGCACTCCTGGCAGTATCATGGCTTTTCTTTTTTCACTGCGGAACAATTATATATGCATATATTTCCTTCTGTCTTCACTATCCATGGGCCACTGTAACGGCAGTGCATGTACCCTTTGCTCAAATGACAACTCCCTCAGCAATCATTTTTATGTTCTTCCTCTCTGCTATGGGGTATTACACACACACACACACACACACACACAAATCATTGATTTCTCTATTTATAAACAATGGCATATTTCACTAAAATATAGTCTTGGCTGCTGGTTTGTTTCATCTGAGAACTGGCTTAATCAATTCCATTCTGCTACCGACTTGGTCAATACAAGCGATAGTCTGCTCCACCAGAAAGCACCCCCACGCCGGCTTGGTTTGCCTCCCCCGGCCTCTTTCCCAGCCAGCAGGAGGAAACTCCTTCATCTTCCTCAGTTTACCTGGCAGGCTGAAGCTGATGCCTTTGTCTTGAGTCAGGAGGCAGCGGATGATTCTTGGTCTCCGACCCCTAGGCTCAGGGTGTCCCTCGCCAGGACACACCAAGAGCAGCGCTGCACCCTCATTCCAGAAGGCCTGAGCATGTCCTCGCACAAGCCCCTTCCCCTCCCGCCAGGCCACAGAGTCCAGGCGCCTGGCAGGGACCGCGGAGCACAGGAGGACAGAGCAGGAAGACCCATCTGTAGCCCTTGCAGAGAACTGGGATCCTGTGGACAAAGGGACCCCCTGGTTCTTTTCCTGGTCTTCCCCAGTCCCCGGTGGCCCCTGGCCGCCTCGTCAGCTCACCTCTCATCACAGAGACGTCATATACCCTCCAGTTCTGGTACTGTAGGTGCTGCCCCAGCACAGTGCACCAGTACCGGCCGGCGTCTCCATCCTCAGACTCCGCCAGCCACAGAGAATAGTTGCTCAGGACTTTGGGCCTGTGGTCCCTTCCGGTTTGCCCAAAGTGTGGGACTGAGCTGGCCACTTGGACGTGGGCCACCTGGGTAGTAAAGGTGCCTGCTGCAGGGCTGTGGAACCAAGACAGGTATTCGTCCCCACGTAGGACACGTGGTAAGGGACACGGTAGCTCCATCGCCTCCCCTAAAGCCACATAGACGGGGAGATGGTCTGTGGGAAGATGGTGGTATGAGGCCAGAGACCTCCGCCATGTCAAAAAGCCCCCGCTTGACCTCTAACCCTGGCTTCCTGCTCCTCTGGGGTCCCCCGGCACTGGTTTGGCTCGTGAACACATTTCTCAAGTGACAGCTACAAAAGCAAGAGAAGTGGAGTCTAAGGATTTTCCTTCCCTCTCCTCTAGCCAGCGAGAGGATATAAGTGCGTGAGGGTAAGGGCAAAATAATTACCAGATGTCCCTGTCTCTTCCTACATGTACTCGTTTATTTACTTTCTAAAGGAAGTTGTACACAGTCCTGACCCTCATTGCTCCTGGCTCTTCCTCAGAACCAGAGGCAGGGAGAGGTCAGAAGGGTAAATCTGTCCCCCTGTGTCAGATCCCTTCTCCAGGCCACTAAAGAAGACCAGCATCCCTCCCCAACCCCACTAACAGCTGAAGAATCTCCCACCCGCTGCTCCTTACCTACAGCGGCCTGGGAGGGGCCACACTGAAACAGAAGGAAGAAGAGTGAGACCGCCATGGAAGAGGTGGCCGTGTCCTCTTGCTCCGAGAACAGGAATTCTCAGGAAGGAAACAGAGACCAGATAAAGGCCCACGCTGCCTTTGTGCCGGGGTGACATGGCCTTCTGGATGGGATGAGAATGCCGGGACAGATAAAAGCCAGCTGCATGTTTCCTGAAGGGAGAGTAGCTGTCTTTCTGTTCTAGGGGCTGGGACAGGGCCAAGTCCAGGCTGCTGCTGCACAGAAGAGTTCCTAACTGTGCACTCCACATTAGTCTGGTCAGCAAGAGCCCAGGAGCTGAGTCTTCATGTTGGTCTCCATGACTGTACACGGTCAGTGGTCCAAAATGATCTGGAATGACTTTCCCTGTGGTTGCCTGGCAGACCACAGACCTCGGCAGAACCCTTGAGGAGCAGAGTAAGTTACTGCTCCAGGTGAATTATTTGCCTAGGGGCCTGGATTATTCACAGACTCATTCTTCTTCCCTAGGAGGGCTCTTAGTCTAAATCTAATGGTGGCTAATCTGCTACTTATTTATTTTGTGGAACCAGGAATTGAACTCAGGCGTTGGCACCACCACTGAGCTAAATCTCTGGCCCTGTTATTTACTTTTTAAAAATTATTTTTGCAGTGATAGGGATTGAACCCTGGGCTTTACACATGGTAGGAAGTGCTGTACCATATTTTTAAAAAGAGCTCTGCCGACTGCCTCACAAGTGCAAGGACCTGAGTTCGATTCCTGGTACCCCAAAACAGAGAGAGAGTGAGTCAAAGAAATACAGTATTACAAGCTGGGCATGGTGCCACAGGTCTGTAAACACAGCTACTCAGTCCCAGCTACTTGGGAGGATTAGATGAAAAAAGCACAAGTTTCAGGCCTACCTTGGCTACTTAGGGAGATCTTGGCTCAATTTATAAAATGAAAAGAGCCAGGGGAGTAGCACAGTGGCAGAGTACCCCTAGATTCAATTCCCAGTACTCTCCTACTCACATTTTAGTAATAAATCCTCCATGCTGTGTGTGTGTGTGTGTGTATGTGTGTGCACGCGCCCATGCGTGTGCATGCGTATGTTACTACAGGGTCTTGATATATAGTTCAGGCTGGCCTTGAACTCATTATGTAGCCCAGGCTGGCCTTGACTTTGAGATCTTGCTGCCTCAGCCTCCCAAGTACTAGAATTACAAGCATATGTTATTATAGACAGTTAAGTTAGAAATTATTAAGACAATCAGGGATGGTCCCTCGAAGGGGGTCAATGAAAAAGATGAGAATACATCAAAACTGTGCTGGGGCTGAGGATTTAGCTCAGTGGGGCCCACGCCTGCCTCATAAATGCAAGGTTCTGAGATCAATCCCCAGTACCCAAAACAAAACAAAACAAAAAAACAAACTGTGGCTGGACACTCAAGAAGGCCAGGTCTGCATACCTCTCTATGGGATAAACAGCAGCCTGAGCATTATACTGTCACTAGTACCACCTGGTCCAGTAGGTCCAGACAAACACCAGACATCCAGGTAGGTGACCAGAACATCCGGACCCATCCCTTCCCAGAAATGTTTTGTTTTTTCTGTGTTAGAAGTTACAGGTAGGCTAACATTAATGATGCTCACCATATAACTTTGCCATGTGCCTCACTTCCCTAATGGATCAATATTAGCTAAGCGGCTATACTTGCAATCTTATAGGTTGATTATAGTTTGTACTCAGCTCATGATTTTGCTCTATAAAACATTCTTGAGGAAGAGGCTTCTGGGTCAACCCACTTTCAGAACCCTTCCTGTCTCTCAGGACCTATCTCTCAATAAACCTTTCTTACTTTTAATCTCCTTTGTCCTTTGGAATTCATTCTTTGACATTTGGGGGACACAAACTCGGCACATCTGGCATCCAGCAGGTTGGAAGTTATATTTCTTCCATATCATGTCACCCAGCCTCATTCATTTCTTTTTACAAGTATTTTACATATCTTTAGCAATGCTGTTTTCCTAAATTGTTTTCCACGATGTAGTTCTCCGTTATTTATTCAAGTTTATGTTTACCTTTTCTGATAATCTTTTAATAGTTTTCCTCTTTAAAATGTTGCATTTCGCGGGGCGTGGTAGAGCACTCCTGTAATCCCAGCACTGGGGAGGCTGTGAGTTCGAGACCAGCCTGGGCTACATAGTGATCCAAGTCAATTCGCGGGGCGTGGTAGAGCACTCCTGTAATCCCAGCACTGGGGAGGCTGTGAGTTCGAGACCAGCCTGGGCTACATAGTGAGTTCCAAGTCAATCTCAACTACATAGTGAGACCCTGTCTCAAAAAAACAAAAAATAAAATAAAATAAATAAATAAAAATAATATGGTATTTATTTATGTTAAATAAAATTTCTTCTATTACATTTATTTCTTGACACCTTGCATATTTTGTAGCTCTTAAATTCAGTGTTCCTAATCTTAGCGTTTCTACTATCGCTCGAGAGTAAGGGATGGGAAAAAAAAAGATTTAATTATTTAACTGGCAATTTTTCTGACTTTCCTTGTCAAACGCCTCCAAATAATTTCTAGCCATTTCTGTATCCGTAGGTTCCAACGAGTGAAAACTTTCGCAAGGAGCGCTAAAGAGGTCCCGACTCCGCACGAGGCGGAACCGGTACGTGCTGACGTTAAGGGCACGCAGCTACTCAGAGGCAAGCAGGCAGGCAGGGCGGGCCCGGGGGTGGGGGGGACCTGCTGCTGGGAGAGCAGCGGCCCGAGCCCGGGCCATGGCGAAGCTGCTGAGCTGCGTCCTCGGCCCCCGGCTCTACAAAATCTACCGGGAAAGGGACTCAGAAAGGGCCCCGTCCAGCGTCCCTGAGACTCCAACTTCAGTCACTAACCCCCCTTCCAGCTCCTGGGTGAGTCGAGTTCCCCCCCGGTCAAGAACATGGTACGGTCCAAACCTTTACGGCCTTTGCTCCCCAGAAGTGCCCATTATTGGAAATCGGGGGAGCCTGCTTGTCAAGCTTGTTGTCCGAAAAGTCTGCTCCCACGGTGCTTCCAGGGTTCAAGTCACGCCTGCGGACTGGCCGCCTCCTCTCCTAGCCCTGTTTGAGCACCGTTTTCTCATTCCACTTCCAGCCCTCCTTTCCTCGCCGCGTCCCCCACCCGGTCTGTCATGGTTCCTGCCAGTCCCAGTCGAGTCCGAGTCCCGCCCGAGACCCTTCGCGGTTGGAGAGCGGGAGGACTTTGCCGTCTTGACGCCCACTTTCTTCTTCCTCAGTAGCTCTTGGTGCCTCCCCTGGCTCTGCTTAACTTCCCTTTAACCTGGCCTTGAATTTCAAAAATGATTTCTACATACCATACATCCGCTGCCTTTCCCTGACCCCCCAACCTAGTCTGAGAGACCCAGAGTCATTGCATCCCTTTGATCTGCTGCTGGTGGCAGGCTGTTCCCCCAAATACTCCCTCTTTTTTGTATTGGCACTCTAGATTATGTTTCCGAATCTCTCTGAACCGCCCACCCCTGGCCACATTCTCTTTCTTCATCAACCTACTCTTCTGTCTCTCTTCTTTCCCTCTTAGAATTGTCACGGAGTCCCCTTCCGTACAGGCTCCCTGGAAAAGGAGCAAAAATGCCCCTCACTGCTTTTACTTCTGCTTCAAAGTCCAGCGCCTTATGCTTTCCTGGTCAGGGGTGGGAAATCGGGCTCAGGGTGGGGGTGAGGAGCAGTGGATTCTGTGAAGGCCAAGAGTGTCCCAAGGAGGCTAGAACCAAAGGCCCCATGTTAGAGTATCCGAAGGGAAGGGGAAAGAGCTGTCATCCGGTAGATCCTTAACCAGGCCATCTGTTTTTGCAGGATACATATTACCAGCCCCGTGCCCTGGAGAAACATGCAGACAGCATCCTGGCACTGGTATGTCTGCCTGGCATCTGCTACTCACTGCATCTTTCCAGCCCCAGCTGCCCTCTTGAACCTGGGACAAGACAGCACCCCTGGGGGTGGGGGATACCGGGGCTCTGCACAGACCCATCTGACACACTCACGGACACAATCCCAGATGCGCACACACCTGGCGCCCCCCTTTGGTATGGTAGTGTGGCTTTCTCTGGGGCAGCCCGAGCCCTGAGGAAAACATGCTTACTCTGGGGGCCATGCCCAGGTGCTCAGTCTGCAGTCCCCAGTGACCTGTCCTCCCTGGCAACTAACCTCTTTGGCTGCAGAGACGGCTGTTCCCCTGGCTGGGTTCCTATGGTGACGTTTGCCTATGTCTTGGGGGCCAGGCCAGGGGCTGTCCTGAGCAGGGTCAGTTGAAAAGGCTTGATTAATACGAGTAGAGAGGAAAACTGGCCTTGAAATGTGAAGTGATGTCTGGAGGTGATTAAAGGAAGAAAACAGAACCTGAACCTAGTTTTTCCAGCCTCCATTGTGCTCTGACACAACACATTCCAACACATATTGAGCACCTCTTGTGTGCATCATGGCGTGTAGAGAATAGGTGCTTGATATGATGTCCTGGGCTATTCACCTTGCTCAGAACCTGAGCCTGGGAGCGGCAGACCTGTGCCTGTGCATGCCTGTATATGTGTGTGTGTGTGTGTGTTGATTGCCTATCCCTGTCTCTGCTGCAGGCTTCCGTCTTCTGGTCCATCTCTTACTACTCCTCTCCCTTCGCCTTCTTCTACTTGTACAGGAAAGGTCAGTGTGGTTTGAAAGGAGGTGGGGCAGGGAATGGGCAGGCTGTTGGCAGATGAGCCGGACCCCTGAAGAGGAGAAGGGCCCTGTGAGGACGCTTGGCTCCCTCTTCCTTCTGAGGATGTGGCTGTGCCGAAGAGGGTGTGGGGAGGAGGCTGGGGCTGAACCGGGAAGAGGAGCTGAGGGTGCTGCAGAGAGCTGCTCATACCGCCCTCTCCCCTCCCAGGTTACTTGAGTTTGTCCAAAGTGGTGCCGTTTTCTCACTATGCGGGGACACTGCTGCTGCTACTGGCAGGTGTGGCCTGCCTCCGAGGTAGGTGGGGAGAAGCCTAGTGTGGATCTATCTCCTGTCACTGGGTAGATGTTAGGTACTTCCTGCAAATGCAGTTCGATGCTGGGCCTGAGGGGAAATCATTGAGAATGGTCTCAGGCATGATCTTTCCTTAAGGGGCTTAGGTCATAAATATGAAAAAGAAATTGACAGAGAAGTTTGCCATATTCTTTTTAAACTTTTACTAGTACACGTTTGCAGTACATAGTGATTACATTCATTGTGGGGAGTTGGGAGTTGGCTGTTTTCTAGATGAATACACTCTACACTGCACATGCGTATTCACATACACGACAGAAGTCTCTGTACATGCGTAGGTGATGTATACTGCGTTGTTTGTAATAATCCTCAACCGGAAGCACTTTTAATGGCCACAAACAGAACACCACACAGCAATGCAAATAAACAAACTGTAGCTACATTTAATGTAAACGAGTCCCACAAAGGTAATGTTCAGTGGAGGAAGCCAACCACAAATGATGTGTGCAGTGTGTTTTCACGTACATGGAGTTCAGAAGGACTGTAGGGTAGGACATGAAGGAGAACAAGAGCATGGTTATCTTGAGAGCCAGGCGAGTAATTACATACATGTGGACAGTACAGCGTGGGAAGACTTTGCTGGGAGTTGGCTTTGTTTTCTTTCTTGTCCTGGATCATAGTCACATGAATGTTTGCTCTGCCTTTTTTTTCCTCTTGTTGAATTGGGGATTGAACCCAGGGCCTTTGTACTGAGGTGCATCCTAATCCTTTTTTTTTTTTTGAGACAGGATCTCAGGTCACTGGGCTGGAATTTGTGATCTTCTTGCCTCACCCTCCTAGAATATTGGGATTATAGGTGTGTGCCACCACATCCAGCTTGCTTTTGACTTTTAAAAAAGCAGAATGTGTTTTCTATTCATGTGTTCTATCTCACAATTTTAAAAAAAGAGGTTAGGCTGAGGGTGGTGGCGCACGCCTGTAATCCCAGCATTTAGGAGGCTGAGGCAGGAGATCACCTTGAGTCTGAGGCAAGCCTGGCTGTTTAGTGAGTTCAAGGCTAGCCTGAACTACATACCAAGACCCTATCTCAAAAATACAAATAAAAAAGAACTAAAATACTTGTGATTTGCAGCACTACTTCAGATAACTTTTGTCCATAAAATTACTGAAGCATTGCATTTGAACTGGAGATGCCATTGGAATCCTCCCGTTCCCATGTTCTTTCACCAGAAGTCACTGTTGTCATAAGGGGTGGTTTTATTCTGGCCCATGTTTCTTGTTAGGCCTGAAATCCCAGCGCTGAGGTAGGAGGAGTACAGTGAGTTCAAGACCAGCCTCAGCATTTAACAAAACTCTGTCTCAAAATAAAAAAGAAAGGGCTAGGGATTTAGCTCAATGGTTCTGCTGCCTGCCTTGAAAGCACAAGGTCCTGAGCTCAATTCCCCATACAAAAAAAAAAAAAAA